CCCACTACCGCTCCCACTGCCACCTCCACCACCATTGCTGCCTCCTCCACTACCCCGGCCACCCTTGCCCCTGCTGTTGCGGCACTTTGCACTAGTCAAAGCAGCACCGACGTCCTCAGGAACAGAGACGTCTGCAGCAGCAGCAGAGGCAAAGGAGGAGGAAAGGGGGGAGGGGGAGCACCCCTCAAAGAAGGGTGAGCGCGGAGTGCCACGAGCAGCACCTACAGCAAGTGCACTAGTCTTAGCTGCGAGAAGATGCTGCTCGAGGAGGTCAACAGTGAGGGAGGTGGGGTCGAGGGTGAGGAAGTGGTCCCTGACAGAGCGAAGGGAGTCAGGGAGGCGAGTGACTATGAAGTAGAGGGTGATGAACATGGGGGGCTGGTTCATGGGAAGGAACTCAGCAGGGACGGCAGCGCGGTAGCGAGCGTCGCTAGTGCGCAGGTGGGTAACCAGGTCCGCTACTGTGGCAAAAGCCGACAGCTCAAGGAACAGGTAGGGCAGTAGCAGTCTGCCAAGAGCAGCAGTGGCAGGGGAGGAGTAGCGAGCAACGACAGCGTCGTACAAGGCCTGTGCTGTCCTGTGCTCGCCAAAGTGAGCACATTCGGTCGCGGGCAGGTGGTTGCGAATGGCCAAGCGGGCAGTAGCGTCACGAGATAGCCACTGGGAACGAGTCGAAACGTCAGCTGTGGCGGGAGGGGCTGGAGCGGCACCGGACACGTGGTCAAACAGTGAGACACTGTCCTTACTATTGCTCAGTAGGTACAGTTGCAAATCGTCGTGCCACGTGTCAAATGCTACAGGTCTGCCCTCCGGGTCAAACGGGAGAACACTAAGCGACGCCATAGTGGCACAGGACTCAGGAGCAGCAGTAGCAGTAGCAAAGGGGCGGAGCCGAGGGGCCTAGGGGCGGAGGGGCCAAACAAGAGGGCCTAGGGGCCGGGGGGCCGAGGGGCGTAGGGGGCCGAGAGGCCTAGGGGGCCGAGGGGCCAAACATGAGGGCCGAGGGGCCAAACACTAGGGCCGAGGAGGCCGAGCCTAGTAGCCGAGGCTAGGGGCCGAGGGGCCTAGAGGCGGGGCCGAGGGGCCAAAGAAGGGGCCGGGCGCTGGGCAGGTACGGAGCCAAGGGGCTTTGGGGGGGGGCCAAGGAGGCCGAGCCTAGGGGCCGAGGGGCCAAACAAAAGGGCCGAGGAGGCCGAGCCTAGGAGCCGTGGCTAGGGGCCGAGGGGCCGAGAGGCGGGGCCGAGGGGCCAAACAAGGGGCCGGGCGCGGGCAAGGTACGGGGCCGGGCGCAGGCTAGGTACGGGGGCGGGCGCTGGGCAGGTACGGGGCGGAATGCTGGGCTCTGAATTGGGGCCGAGGGGCCTAGGGGGCCGAGGGGCCAAACACACGGGGCCAAGGAGGCCGAGCCTAGGGGCCGAGGCTAGGGGCCGAGGAGCCGAGAGGCGGGGCCGAGGGGCCAAACAAGGGGCCGGGCGCTGTGCAGGTACGGAGCCGAGGGGATTAGGGGGGCCGAGGAGGCCGACCCTAGGGGCCGAGGATCCAAACAAGGGGGGGGCGGGCGTAGGCAAGGTACGGGGCCGGGCGCGGGCTAGGTACGGGGCTGGGCACCGGGCAGGTACAGGGCCGGGCGCTGGGCTCTCAATTGGGGCCGAGGGGCCTAGGGGGGGGGGCGAGGGGCCAAACATACGGGGCTGAGGAGGCCTAGCCTAGGGGCTGAGGCTAGGGGGCGCGGGCGTCGACGGGCGCGGGCTAGGGAGGGGGCCGGGCGCTGAGCTAGGTACGGGGCCGGGCTCTGGGCTAGGAACGGGGCCGAGCGCGGGCTAGGTACGGGGCCGGGCGCGGGTGTCGACGGGGTGCTGGCTAGGTACGGGGCCGGGCACGGGTGTCGACAGGGCGCGGGCTAGGTAAGGGGCCGGGTCGCGGGCTAGGTACGGGCTGGTCGCGGGCGTCGACGGGGCGCGGGCTAGGTACGGGGCCGGGCGCGGGTGTCGACGGGGCGATCGCGAGCTAGGTACGGGGCCGGGTCGCGGGCTAGGTACGGGCCGGTCGCGGGCGTCGACGGGGCGCGGGCTAGGTACGGGGCCGGGCGCGGGTGTCGACGGGGCGATCATGGGCTAGGTACGGGCCGGGCGCGGGCGTGAGAAAGGGCCGAGCGCGGGCTAGGTACGAGCCTATCGTGGGCTATGTACGGGCCAGGCGCGGGCGTGAGACTGGGCCGGGCGCGGGCTAGGAACTAGGTAGGCGCAGTAGTAGGTGGTGGGCCCAATAGGAACCTACTCTAATACCATGTGAGAATAAGTGACGAGAGTGATGTGATTAGGAGAAAAGGGGGGGGTACAAGTAGAATGTCGAGAAGATTTATGTACCCCCTAAAGCTAGCCCCCATACAGCCTAGATAAAACTAAGCTTAGATACAACTAAGCATATATGTTAGACACACAAATGTGCCCGTCGCGTCTCAAAGCGGTCTAGAGTGAACATCAAGAAACACGCCCCCAACCGCCTTCACCAGCCGCCTCACCAGTTTCAGTGGCCTGGTGGGACCAGACAGCATTGCACTCCCAGCCGGACCAGCTCTTGTGGACATTGAACCAGGAGAGGGGGCGGGGGAACGGGCTTAGGACCCAGATGCCCTGGGTGGCCGTACAATCGTACCTCTGCTCAAATGACTTCAGGGTGTATTCGGTGAAGTGGGACGAGACAGGAACGGGGCGCTTGATGGATGCTAGTGCAGGACGTCATGGCAGTGGTGGTTGTGATGGTCCGGGGTCTTGGTTGTTAGTCCGAGAAAGAGGAATCGCAGCAACAGCAGGTGCTGCTGTAGTCCCGCCGCCCTCATCGCCCCTAACGAAGCGCTTGATTGATGCTGGTGCAGGATGTCATGGCAGTGGTGGTTGTGATGGTTTGGGGTCTTGGTTGCTAGTTTGGGAAAGAGGAATGGTAGAAACAGCAGGTTTCGAGTCGACTCAAAAGGGAACGAAGCACTTGATTGATGCTGGTGCAGGATTTCATGACAGTGGTGGTTGTGACGGTTCGGGGTCTTGGTTGTTAGTCCGAGAAAGAGGAATCGCAGCAACAGCAGGTGCTGCTGTAGTCCCGCTGCCCTCAACACCCCCAACAGCCATGCTCACAGCCCTCCCATGCGCTGCCAGAATATCCTGACAAGCAGTGAAAATGATAGAATATGGGTTGAGACTTGAGAGAGGCTAGAGATGATGGGGAGGAGATGGGGAGAGGGGAGAGGGAGGAGGGTGGGATGAATTCCAAGACACAAAATTAGAGGACTGGAGGGAAGATTAGATGAGGAAGAGAACGAGGGCAATGGAGGAGAGGAGAGGGGCGATCAAGGGAGGAAGGAAGGTGGATGAAGGAGTGGACGCAGAAGAGATAGGTCCTGCCCGCCTGCACATGGGCTTTTGCAGCCATATCGAGAGTGTATATTGGGTACGTGGGAGAAGCAGATAAGAAGCAGATAAGGAGCAGATAAGAAACGGAGCGGGAGGAGAGTTTCGACGAGCATAAAAATCAGTGGGAGGGGTTGTGTATAGCAGATGAAACGAGCCTTTCTCGCCTGCATGGGCAGAGGAGTAGGTAGGGAAATGTGGGGCGAAAGAGGAGGCTAGAGTGGACCGAAATGCAGTTGACCAAATGAGGTAAATATCTTAGTAGGACTTACCTAATTGCAATTCTCCTTGCTTAAGACAAGCGAGTTGAGATGGTTTGCTTGCTTGCAGCCTCAAGTACTGCATCAAATGACACTATATTATGCTAGGGCACAAGGCATAGCACACCAGGCCACAATGTAGTCACCATGCTAGGACCATGCAAGGACTATGCCAGGACTATGCCAGGACCATGCTAGAACCATGCTAGGACCATGCTAGGACCATGCCAGGACCATGCTAGGACCATGCTAGGACCATGCAAAGACCATGCTACGACCATGCTACGACCATGCTACGACCATCCTAGGACCATGCCAGGACCATGCTACGACCATGGCAGGACCATGGCAGGACCATGCCAGGACCATGCCAGGACCATGCCAGGACCATGCTAGGACCATGTTACTAAGGATGTTAGTACACGCTAGTACAATGCTAGGACCATTCCAGGACCATGCCAGGACCATGCCAGGACCACGCTATGACCATGCTATGACCATGATATGACATTCTAGGACCATGCAAGGACTATGCCAGGACCATGCAAGGACCATGCCAGGACCATGCTAGGACCATGCTAGGACCATGCCAGGATCATGCTAGGACCATGCTAGGACCACGCTAGGACCATGCCAGGACCATGCTAGGACCATGCTAGGACCATGCCAGGACCATGCTAGGACCAATGCTACTAAGCATGCTAGTACAATGCTAGGACCAATCCAGGACCATGCCAGGACCATGCCAGGACCACGCTTGGACAATGCTATGACCATGCCATGACATGCTAGGACCGTGCCAAGACCATGGCAGGACCATGCTAGTACCATGCCAGGAGCATGCTAGTACCATGTTAGAACCATGCTAGGACCATGTAAGGAGGACCCGATCCAACTATGTAGTTAATAGCTAACAACTAGAAGGATAAGCATGTTGAGGAAAAAAGGATCGAACATAGGAATTCAGTAAAACAAACAACAGTGCTGCAACTTGTAGTAACTAACCAACCCCTTATAGTACATCAGCTATTTACAAGCATACACCTTCAATCTCCAACTCGTCAAGTTTCACACAATGGAGCACCTTGGGTCATTTTCCTCCTTACCCGGCTTAGGGCAGCCACAGTGACTTGTGAGTCGGCTGTATTGAGAAAAGTTGGCAGGAAAGGAAGAAATGGAGGTTCCGTTTAGGTACAGCTGACGAAGGTGGGAGAGCTGGGTGAAAGAGGAAGGGAGGTGCTTGAGGGAGGAACAGTTGGTCATATCCAGCTTGCGCAATCCATTCAAGGCCCCAATATTTGTAGGAAGGGAATGCAATTTGGATGCATAAATCTTCATGGACGTCATGTGAGAATCTAGCATGACTTGGGAGCCATAGCTAGGTTAGAGTGTCGAGAGAAATGAGTGTCGAGAGGAATGATGTCACTAGCAAGAGTTGGGATACAAATACAACACCCTAAATTGGGTTGTACTCAGTACAGAGTACCCCACTGCAGGCTAGACAGCAAATACATTCTGACACACCCCCATAGTCAAAGTGGGGTATAATCAGCAGAGCAAGCAGTCATAGAGCAGGTTCACAAGTACAAGCAAAGCTAGAGGCATACACAAAGGGCAAGTGAGGAGGAGGCTGGACTGTGAGAGGAGAGGAGATAGGAGGCGACTGCTGATGCTGCAGACACACGGGCAACAGGAGCGGCGCACACTGTGGCTACCGGAGCAAGGGCCCTGGACTACAGGAGTAACTGGCTCTGCGGCTAACTCTGAGCGGCAGGAGCAACGGACCCACAGGCGACAGGCGCAGCAGGCTCTCTGAGCTACCAGAAGCAGAGCCCCTGACTACAGGTACTACGGACGACAAGACGGCAGCCTCCGCTCAACCTCCCCCAACTGTCCCACCCCCCTTTCACACACCCCTTGCTGCACCCCTAGCTCCACTCCCATTTCACCTCCCTAGCACCACTCCCTCGGCTCCCACATACCCACCCCCCTCAGCGGCAGCTGCAGCAGTGGGAGACGGAGGAGGAGGAGGAGCAGGGGACGGTTCACACACCCGCCACCCCCATACCCTCCCCCCACTGCTGCACCTGCAGCAGGGGATGGAGGAGAAGGGGGGGGGGGGGGGGGGGGGGGGGCTGGTGCTGCAGCAAGGGCTGTAGCGGCAACAGCAAGGGCTGTAGCTGCAGCAGCAGGGCAGCAGGGCAGCAGAGCGCGTGGCGCGCAGCAGGGCTGCAGGACGCACGGGGCGCGCAGGGCACGCAGGGCAGCAGGACAGCAAGGCGCGCGGGGCGCGCATGGCTGCAGGGCGCGCGGGGCGCACAGGGCAGCAGGGCAGCAGGGCGCACAGGGCTGCAGGGCAGCAGGGCGCGCGGGGCGCGCAGGGCTGCAGGGCGCACAGGGCGCGCAGGGCAGCAGGACAGCAGGGCGCGCGGGGCGCGCAGGGCTGCAAGGCGCTCAGGGCGCACAGGGCAGCAGGGCAGCAGGGCGCACAGGGCTGCAGGGCAGCAGGGCGCACTGGGCAGCAGGACAGCAGGGCGCGCGGGGCGCGCAGGGCTGCAGGGCGCGCAGGGCGCGCAGGGCAGCAGGACAGCAGGGCGCGCGGGGCGCGCAGGGCTGCAGGGCGCTCGGGGCGCACAGGGCAGCAGGGCAGCAGGGCGCACAGGGCAGCAGGACAGCAGGGCGTGCGGGGCGCGCAGGGCTGCAGAGCGCGCGGGGCGCACAGGGCAGCAGGGCGCACAGGGCTGCAGGGCAGCAGGGCGCGCAGGGTACACAGGGCAGCAGGGAGAGAGAGAGGAGAAGGGGGGGGGGGGGGGGGGGGGGGGGGGCTGATGCTGCAAATCCCCTCCCCCCACTGTTGCTCCACTATCCGTCACCCCCCAGGGATGAAGGAGAAGGGGAGGGACGGGGGGGGTTGGTGTTGCAGGTCCCCTCCCCCCCACTGCTGCACCCGCAGCAGGGGGAGGTAGGAGAAGGGGGGGGCAGGGGGGGCTGGTGCTGCAGATCCCCTCCCCCCCACTGCTGCTCCACAATCCTTCACCCCCCAGGGATGGAGGAGAAAGGGGGGGCGGGGGGGGCTGGTGCTGCAGATCCCCTCCTGCCTCCCCCTGAACCTCCAAGCTCCTCCCCCCCTCCCAACACAGGGTGCGGCAGGGAGAGAGAGAGGAGAAGGGGGGGCGTGGGGGGGCTGATGCTGCAACCCCCCCCCCCCCTCACTGCTGCTCCACTATCCGTTACCCCCCAAAAAGTAAGGAGAAGGGGGGGGACGGGGGGGGTTGGTGCTGCAGATCCCCTCCCCCCCACTGCTGCACCCGCAGCAGAGAGATGGAGGAGAAGGGGGGGGGCGGAGGGGGCTGGTACTGCAGGTCCCCTCCCCCCACTGCCGCATCCGCAGCAGGGGGATGGCAGATCCCTTCCCCCCCACTGCTGCACCCGCAGCAGGGGGGGAGGTAGGAGAAGGATGACGGAGGGGGGGGGGGGGGGGGGGGGGGTCGGTGCTGCAGATCCCCTCCCCCCCTCTGCTGCACCCACAGCAGGGGGAGGTAGGAGAAGGGTGGGGGGGGCTGGTGCTGCAGATCCCATCATCCTGCCTCCCCCTGAACCTCCAAGCTCCCCCCCTTCTCCCAACACCAGGTGCGGCAGGGAGAGAGAGAGGAGGAGGCGTGGTGGCAGCTGCTGCTGCTGAGGCACATCCACCACCCCCTCACACCCTCTCCCCGCCGTCCCCATGGAGGGGGGGGGAGGGGGGCGGGGGCGGAGCTGCGCGTGCGACTGTAGGGCACGCGGGCAGGAAGAACCCCCTCTTGCCACCCCCTCACCCACCATGTTGCAACTGGGCACCTGGGCCGCGGTTAGGGGCGGCAGGTCGCGAGAGGCCATGGCTAGGGGCGACGGGGCCATGGATAGGGACGGGGCCGTGCACTGGGCAGGTACGGGGCCGGGCGCTGGGCTAGGGACGGGGCCAGGCGCTAGGCAGGTACGGGGCCGAGGGGCCTAGGGGGCCGAGGAGGCCGAGCCTAGGGGCCGAGGGGCCAAACAAGGGGCCGGGGATAGGGGGGGGGGCCGAGGGGCCAAACACGAGGGCCGAGGGGGGGGGGTCCTAGGGGCCAAGAGGCCGCGGAGACTAGGGGCCGAGGGGCCAAACACGAGGCCTAGGGGCCGAGTGACAAGAGGGCCAAGGGGCCGAGGGGCCTAGGGGGCCGAAGGGCCTAGGTGGCCAAGGGGCCTAGTGGGCCGAGGGGCCAAACAAGAGGGCCAAGGGGCCAAGCGTAGGGGCCGAGGCTAGGGGCCGAGGGGCCGAGGGGCGGGGCCGAGGGGCCAAACAAGGGGCCGGGCGCGGGCTAGGTACAGGGCCGCGCGCGGGCTAGGTACGGGGCCGGGCGCTGGGTAGGTACGGGGCCAGGCGCTGGGCAGGTACGGGGCCGGGCTCTGGCTAGGTACTGGGCCGGGCGCGGGCTGGGTACGGGGCCTGGCGCGGGCGAGGTACGGGGTCGAGCGTGGGTGTCTACGGGGCGCGGGCTACGTACGGGCCGGGCGCGGGTGTCGACGGGGCGCGGGCTAGGTACGGGCCGGGCGCGGGTGTCTACGGGGCGCGGGCTACGTACGGGCCGGGCGCGGGTGTCGACGGGGCGCGGGCTAGGTACGGGCCGGGCGCAGGTGTCGACGGGGCGCGGGCTACGTACAGGCCGGGCGCTGGTGTGAGACGGGGCCGGGCGCAGGCTCGTAACGGGCCGGGCGCGGGCAAAAGACGGGGCCGGGCGCTGGGCGAAGGACGGGGCCAGGCGCGGGTTTGGTTTGCCGGGCGCGGGCTAGGTACGGGGCCAGGCGCGGGCGAGGTACGGGCCGGGCGCGGGCTAGGTAGGGGGCCAGGCGTTGGGCGCGGAACGGAGGCCGGGCGCGAGGCTAGGTACGGGCCGATCGCGGGCTAGGTACGGGGCTAGGTGCGGGCGAGGTACGGGCCGGGCGCGGGGCTAGGAACAAGGCCGAGCGCGGGCTAGGTACGGGCCGATCGCGGGCGCGGGGCGACAGAGTCGACGGGGCCAGTGGGGCCGAGGGGCACAGCTAGGGGCGACGCCAAGGGGCGACGGGGCCAAGGGGCCCAGGCGACGGGGCCAAGGGGCCAAGCCTAGGGGCTAGGGGCGACGCCAAGGGGTGACGAGCCGGGGCCTAGGCTAGCAGGGCAGTAGATGGTGGGCCCATTAAGATTAGGTCCTAGAAAATTGTTGCTCTTAATACCATGTGAGAATCTAGCGTGACTTGGGAGCCATAGCTAGGTTAGAGTGTCGAGAGAAATGAGTGTCGAGAGAAATGAGTGTCGAGAGGAATGATGTCACTAGCAAGAGTTGGGATACAAATACAACACCCTAAATTGGGTTGTACTCAGTACAGAGTACCCCACTGCAGGCTAGACAGCAAATACATTCTGACATGCCAGGTTCTGGAGGTTGGTGATGGTTGCTGGTAGCTTGGTCAGTACTTCAGCCATGCATATGTCCAGCTGCCGCAGTGCCTGTGAAGTCGACAACCCTGGAAGACGTTTCAGTCGTTCAGCACGCGCAATGCTCAAAGTGCGGAGGCGAGAACCACCTGCCAATGAGATTGACAGCTCCTCCAAATCAGGTGTCACCTCGAGGCTTAAGCTTTCAAGGCAAGAAGATCTGCAACGCTCAGAATCTGCTCACAGTTGTCCAAGCTTAGCACCTGGAGAGAGGGTGGCAAAGAATCTGGAGCTTCTTTCAGTTGTTGACATCCTCTCAGCTTCAACTGCTCCAACTTGATAAGGCTGTCCAGACCCCTTGGCACTATGCTGAGGCTGCTGCAGTCCTCAACCTTCAAAATCCGAAGCCTTAACAAGGGCTGTGACAGAGTCCAGCACCTCCTTCAAGTCCGAGCAGCTCTGAATATTCAGCACAACCAGGTTTCTCAGCTGCTCCACGCCTTGTGGAAGCTCCGCTATGCGGCAAAAGAGAAGCTCCAAGTTTGTCAGGGAAGACAACTGCGTGAACGAAGGCGGAAGCGGCTGCTCTGCATCATTCCATTTCAAGAGGAGAGTGTGGAGGCTGGTCAACCGTCCAATGTCTTCTAGAAGCTTCAGCTTGGGACAACTACTCAGGCACAGAAACTGGAGTGATGAAGGGAAGCCAAGACGCTCAGGCAGTCACTCCAACTTAGAACAGTCGATCACGAACAGGGACTCCAGAGAGGAGAGCCGGGAGAAGGAGGCAGGGAAACCGTGCAATCGCAGTGACCGCAACACCAATCCTTTCAGTGATGGAAGATTTCCGAAATTCTTCGGTAGGGAAGACATGCGGCACTCGCAAATTGTCAAGCTCTCCATACACGTCAAAGAAGCGAACTCCTCTGTCAGATGGGAGAAAATCTCACAAGAGACAAGGCAGAGCTCCTGGAGGCATGGCACCACCTCTGCAATATTGTCAGGAAGCCGCCCAATCAGGCAATTGTAGAAATTCAGCCGTTTCAGGTTGCTACACGGTGACTCTGAAAAAAACAGGTGAGCACCGTGGAATCCAACTTCCAGCACCTCAAGAGAAGGTTGATCTGAGAAAGTGAAGGCCGCTGACGAGTCTACTCCGGAAAAATAACCAGCATCCCACAAGGACAAGCTGGTGAGGCCTGTAAGGTGGATGAGGCTGGCAACTTGGTCATTATTAAGGCATTTGAAGTCAATGGAGAGGGTTGTGAGAGAAGACAAGCCCATCAGCTTTCGACCCTACAGGATGAGATAGTTGCTCAGGATGAGAATGCTTAACTGTGTTAACTCGAACACAGAGGCTGGTAGCATGAAATCCGGATGCAGGCAGCACAGCGACATCTCCACTAATTGAGAAAAATGATAGAAAAAGCTATCCAAGCCAGCTTGAGTAAGCGGGCTCTCCCTGTCGCGACACTGGTAAGACGGATCTGACGTGCCCACATGGAATGCTGTCAGATGATGGCAGGTCGAGGCCGTGAGGCGAGCAAGGAACTCTTCGTCAACAATCTTCACGCCTGGACCACTCAGATACAGATGGGTGAGCTGTGTGAAGCACGGGACATCATGTAAAAAATCCTCGCAAGAAACGACAACACCTTTCTTGACGCGGAACGCCGTGACATCACCCTGAGCGAGACGCCGCCAACGATGACAGAGCGACGCAATAAGGAGGTTGTAAGCGGCGTCTGAGGAGGAAGGAAGAGTCGTCATCTTGTCAAACTTATATATAGCTTACATTGTGTAGGCTGTAGTGGGGTACAACCCACTTAGGGTTAGTACTTGTACCCAACTCTTTGCTAGTTCATCCATTCTCGTTCATTCTTCAGACATGGTTTCCGAGCAGGTCCTCTGCTAGGACCGTTTTTTCCTTGGGCCCACCACAGCGCTACCCCGCTAGCCGCCCTCTGCAGCCCTCGCGCTGCCCCTACTGCCTGTCGCGACAGTTAGGCCCCTAGGCCCGTCACCCTAGACCTGTCGCCCCTAGGCCCCGTCGCCCCTAGGCCCCGTCGCCCTCGGCCCCGTCGCCCCTCGGCCCTACGCCCTAGGCCCCGTCGCCCCGCGGCCCCCGTCACCCTAGGCCCCGTCGCCCCGAGGCCTCCGTCGCCCACGGCCCGTCGCCCTAGGCCCCGTCGCCCTCGACCCCGTCGCCCCGCGCCCCCTCGTCGCCCTAGGCCCCGTCTCCCCGCGGCCACCTGACGCCCTAGGCCCCGTCGCCCAGCGGCCCCCCGTCGCCCTAGGCCCCGTCGCCCTGCGGCCCCCGTCGCCCACGGCCCATCGCCCTAGGCCCCGTCGCCCTCGGCCCCGTCGCCCTAGGGCCGGTCACCCCGCGGCCCCCGTCGCCCTAGGCCCAGTCGCCCAGCGGCCCGTAGCCCTAGGCCCCGTTGCCCTAGGCCCCGTCGCCCTAGGCCCGTCGCCCTAGGCCCCGTCGCCCCGCGGTCCCGGGCCTTTTGTTTCTGACCCCGTGGCCCTTCGTTCCTGGCCCCGCGGCCCGTCGCCCCTAGGCCCCCGGCCCCTCGGCCCCTTCGTTCTTGGCCCCGTGGCCCGTTGCCCCTAGGCCCCCCGGCCCCTCGGCCCCCCTTTGTTCCTGGCCCCGCGGCCCGACGCCCCTAGGCCCCAGGCCCCTTCGGCCCCTTCGTTCCTGGCCCCGCGGCCCGTCGCCCCTAGGCCCCTGGCCCCTCGGCCCCCTTTGTTCCTGGCCCCGCGGCCCGACGCCCCTAGGCCCCAGGCCCCTCGGCCCCTTCGTTCCTGGCCCCGCGGCCCGTCGCTCCGCGGCCCGACGCCCCTAGCCCCCCCCCCCTAGACGATCTGCACCTGAACTTACTGAGCGATTCTAAAGACCGTGTTTTGCTGTTTGACCTCGCGTCAGGCGCCGCTCCTGCCCCTCCCGCCACAGCTGACAGTGCGACTCGCTCACAATGGCTTACTCGCGACGCTGCTGCCCACTTAGCAATTTGCAACC